CTCATACAACTCAAAAAAAAAAAAAAAAAAAAGGAAGAAAAAGAACCCAATTAAAAAATGGACAGAGAACCTAAAGAGACACCTCTCCAAACAGGACATACCAATGGCCAAGAGACATATGAAAAAATGCTCAACATGACTAATCATCAGAGAGATGCAAATTAAAATGACTGAGATATCACCTCACACTTGTCAGAATGGCTGCCATCAACAAATCATCAACAAGTGTTGGCAAGGGTGTGGAGAAAAGGGGACTCTAGCACACTGCTGGTGGGAATGCAGACTGATGCAGCCACTATGGAAAACAGCATGGTGTTTCCTCAAAAAATTAAAAATTGATCTGCCATTTTACCCAGTGATCCCACATCTAGGAATATATCCTAAGAACCTGAAACACCAATCAGAAAGATACCCCTGTATAATGTATCCCTATATTTATAGCAGCACTATTTACAATCACTAAGATCTGGAAACAGCCAAAGTGTCCAACAATAGATGAGTGGTAAAAAAGCTGTGGTACATATACACGATGGAATACTATGCAGCTGTAAGAAAGAATGATTTCTGCCCAGCCGTTGTGGCTCAGTGGTTGAGCATAGACCCATGTGTCAAGAGGTCACTGCTTTGATTCCTGTTCAGGGCAGATGTCCAGGTTGTGGGCTTGATCCCCAGTAGGGGGCATGCAGGAGGCAGCTAATCGATGTTCTCTTTCATCAATGTTTCTATCTCTCTCTTCCTCCCTCTCTCTCTAATACTAATGAAAAAAAAATTTTTAAAGAAAGAAAGATCTCTTATATTTTGAGAGGACATGGAGGGACCTGGAGAGTATTATACTAAGTGAAACAAGCCAATCAGAGAAAGACAAGTATCACATGATCTCACTTATTTATGGAATATAATGAACAAAACAAACTGATAAACAAACACACAGAGACATAGAAGTAGGATACACACTGACAAACCTCAAAAGAGGGGGTGTGGGGGGGAGGGAAGAGATAAACCACAGAACTTATATGCATGTATGAGTAACCAATGGACATAGACAACAATGCTAGGGGGGGGGGGCAGGCGAGGGGATTGGGAGGAGGGTGTCAATGGAGGAAAAAGAAGAAACATCTGTAACAAAAATAAATTAATAAAAATAATTTTTAAAAAATCAATAAAAAATACAAAAAATAGTTGATGCATTAGGAATAATTACTTACTCATTAGGTTTCTCTCTAAACAGTGACATTTATGAGAGATAATATAAAGTCATGGATATATAGACAATTTCAAAAACAATGAGACACATGATATCACAAACAAAGGCTTGAAGGTGTAAAAGAAAACAAACAGAAAGAAGGTAGCACTGAAGGTGAGCTAAGGTTAGAATGGAGCTCATGCAGAGTGTCCTGGAGAGACGGAGCTACTTCCCAGGTACAGCACCCCTCTCTGATGCTCTCATTACTATTGATTTACAACTAGAAGATGAATTAGTTTTTTTTTTAATTTATCTTTATCATATAACACATGTTCCTTGTTTTTTCTTTTTCACCCCCTCCTCCCTACTCCTGCCTTCCCCAGCCCCTCCCCGCCTCTCTGCACTGTTGTCTGTTTATGGGTTTATGGGTTGTGTATATAGGCATGTACGTTCTTTGGTTTATCTTTTTCTGTCCCCCACTTGCTCCTTCTTCTGAGATGTGTTAGTCTGTTCCCTACTTCCATGACATAGATCTTTTTTGTCCATCTACTTATTTTGTTCATTATATTCCACAAATAAGTGAGATCATGTGATATTTGTTTTTCTCTAATTGGTTTATTTTGCTTAGCATAATACTTTCCAGGTTCCTCCATGTCGTCTCAAAGGGTAAGAGACTTACAGCTGCATAGTATCTCATTGTGTGTTTCCAGATCTTAGTGATTGTAAATAGTACTGCTATGAAATAGGGGTACATATATTCTTTCTGGTTGGTGTTTCCAGCTTCTTAGGATATATTCCTAGAAGTGGGAGCACCGGGTCAAATGGCAGTTCCATTTTAACTTTTTCAGGAAAAGGCATATTGTTTTCCACAGTGGGTGCACCAGTCTGCATTCCCACCAGCAGTGTACTAGAGTTCCCTTTTCTCCACACCCTTGCAAACACTTGTTGTTCGATGATTTGTTGATGGCGGTTATTCTGACAGGAGTGAGTTGATACCTCATAGTCATTTAATTTGCATCTCTCTGATGATTAGTGATGTCGAGCATTTTTTCATATGTCTCTCGGCCATTGGTATGTCCTGTTTGGAGAAGTGTCTATTCAAGTCCTCTGCCCATTTTTAAATTGGATTGTTTGTTTTTGTTTTGTTGAAGAAATAATTTGACAAACTAATTGCTCCCTCAGAGCCATCAGTGAATCCAAAGTAGGGCTCAAGGAGGTCTGAAAAAACTTCCAAGGAAGCAATCCAGAGAGAGGGAGTATTTACAGGTTGTGACTGTACAAACCCTGTGAGACTCGATTCTTTATAAATAGGAGAACTGAAGCACCTTTCGTTGGAGCACTTTGTGCTCTGCTGAGAAACGGTACCTGTGAGGTCTTGCAAGAGCACTTGGGAAAGCCTGACTGTGTTCTCAGGTGGACAGTGTGAGCGTTCAAACAGCTGCTCCTGTGTCACCATGAGCTCTGCTCCTCACATGTAACACGTCCACACACACGGTCCTTCCTGGTCTTGCACACTTCTTTTTTTCTATAATGGACTTAAAATAAAATGGGATTGTAGAATCATACATTATCAAGATGTCTGAGCCCAGGCAAGAACGACAGACCGCTGAGGGCCTTTGCTGACCAGTGACAGACGGTCCGGATCTCAGGAGTCGGCGTGGCTCAGACATGATGCTCCTGTGTGGCTGGAGTGAGTAGGAAGAAGCAGGTTTCAGCAGCATCTCTCCCCCATGACATCACCGCTTCTCTTCTTGTCTTCTCCGCCTTTGCTCAGTGCTAGGGCCGCATGTGAGGTACTCATTTTGGCTCGGTCATTCTATTTAGATATGTTTTTAAGCGGCACTTGCCACGTTTATGATGAGAATCGCCATGGTGAATGCGTCTCTGGAACTTCAAAGCTCCCATATCGGAGATGCTATTCAGGTATAGTGTCAAAGGTCAGGCATAATAAGCCTGTTGTCTGCTTTTTAAAACTAAATTACATGTTAACTACATGTGGTTTAAAGTCAAGACTGGAAATGACCAGGCAGAAGTAAAACAGGAATACTTTTCTCACCCTAGTATAAAAGGATGATGTGAACCCATCTAGAACGATGTCGTTACCTAACAATGGAACAAAAGACAGGCAAACAGCCCGGCCCATGTGGCTCAGTTGAGTGTGGTCCCATGTACCAGGAGGGTGATGGTGTGATCCCCACTCTGTTGGGGCCCAGGCAGCGGTGTGAGCTGGGTCTCCAGTAGGGGCTGCAGGAGGCAGCTGCTCAGTGTTTCCTTTCATGAATATTTGTCTCTTCTTCTCCCTTCCTCGTTTTGAAGTCATTATAACAATTATATATATATATATATATATATATATATATATATATATATTAAGAAGACAGGCAAGCAGAAGACCATGTTCCTAATAATTAAGGTTATGGACAATAGCATGAAAAAGTTTTGAAGTTTGGCTCTGTTACATACTTGCTTTGTAAATGGGGGGAATTTGCTTACTTTTTCAAAGTTTCAGTTTCCTGATCTATAGATGGGAATAGTAGTGAGAGTTTCTGCTTATAGATGTATTAAAGAAAAGAATCCTATTTTTAAAGTGATAAGCCCAGTATTTGGTGTTTACCATATATTCATTAAATGGCATACATATTAATTCATGCACCTGTGTATTAGTATTGGTTAGTATTAGTATTAGTTAGTATTACTATTACTGTTACTGTTACTGTTACTGTTATTGTTACTGTTACTGTTACTGTTACTGTTACTGTTACTGTTACTGTTACTGTTACTGTTACTGTTAGTATGTGTTATCAGAAGAGATCTCTGTGCCCTCCAGACACTGTATCATGCTTGTGACTTGTTTAACCTTCTTCATTAGAGCTGTTCTATCCCTTCTGCTCTAGGGGTCGCTACCTTTATTTCTTCATAACAGTAACACAAACTAGATGATTTTCTTGATGCTAATATTTCTTTTACTTAGCATTTCAGAGTTGCCCCAAATCCACTTAGAAAAGGTAAAAAGGCCCAGAAAGACCAGAGCAGCACCTCCTGATAGATTTGGAAATATTAAACTTTCCAATTCTGGAAGGATGTATTCTGGAAAAGATTTGATCTAAGTCTGTTTAATAATGCTATTTAATAAAACATTTATTTGCAAATAATTTTAGAAAAGCATTAAAGACATAAGTTTAAGATACATAAAGAAAGAACATTTTTCATTAGGATTTGTGTTTTTGTCAAATATGTTTCACAGACATTTTATAAACTTTACTATTTTGCTGTTAATATTGTAGTTGTTGCAATAATTATAATTTTTATTTTGTAGGTAATGGACCTGTGTTTATAAAAATGTATAAATTATTTAAACTAATATAGCTAATAAGTGGCAAAACCAGGATTTAAATTAAGTGTGCAATTTCTAATGCAATTTATTTTTCTGATATTTTTCAGAGTACTAAATAGTGCAAATTTGTTACTCAAAGGAATTGTGAGAGCTCAAAATATAAAATGCCTGAAGAGAGTAAATCCCGGAGTTAAACCACTCTAAACAGGTTTCCAAATTAACATGAGACTGTTTTGAATCTTTGGTCTTGTCATCAAAGGCAACCATCTGCCCCACGTACACAGTCCTAGGAGCCAGACACACTGTGGCTCTAAAACAGCCTTTCTTACCAACTGAACATTTGTGCAGACCTTGCCATTCAGAAGAAGGCTCGTCTCTGATGGTGAAGAACACAAGCACTCATCGGCAACTAGCTTGATGATCTGAAATTGGTGTCAGACTTTGGGGTCTGGAGTCCGCCTCGAGGCCTGACCTGTGGTCGCCATGAGGAACGCCTCAGTGGTGACCGAGTTCATCCTGCTGGGCATCCCGCACACGGAGGAGCTGGAGACCATGCTCTTCGTCCTGTTTTTGTCTTTCTACATCTTTACCCTTGTGGGAAACCTGCTCATCCTACTGGCAATTGTCTCCTCCACTCAACTCCACACCCCCATGTATTTCTTCTTGTGTCAACTGTCTGTGTGTGACATATTTTTCCCTTCTGTGAGTTCCCCCAAGATGCTCTTCTACCTCTCAGGGCACAGCCGAGCCATCTCCTACGCAGGGTGCGTATCCCAGCTCTTCTTCTACCACTTCCTGGGCTGCACTGAGTGCTTCCTGTACACGGTGATGGCCTATGACCGCTTTGCTGCTATATGTCACCCTCTACGCTACCAGGTGATCATGAGCCACAGAGTGTGTGCCACCCTGGCCATGGGCACCTCATTTTTCGGCTGTATTCACGCCACCTTTCTAAGCACTCTCACCTTCCAGTTACCCTACTGTGGCCCCAATGAGGTGGACTATTTCTTCTGTGATATCCCAGTGATGCTGAAGCTGGCCTGTGCGGATACCTCAGCCCTGGAGATGGTGGGGTTCATCAGTGTGGGCCTCATGCCCCTCAGCTGCTTTTTTCTCATCCTCACCTCCTACAGTCGCATCGTCTACTCCATCCTGCAGATCCGCTCTGCAGAGGGCCAACAACGTGCCTTCTCCACCTGCAGTGCCCACCTCACTGCCATCCTACTTTTCTACATGCCAGTGATCTTCATCTACTTAAGGCCAACCCCAATCCCCTGGCTGGATGCAACCGTTCAGGTCCTGAATAACCTGGTCACCCCCATGCTGAACCCCTTGATCTACAGCCTCAGGAATAAGGAGGTCAAATCATCTCTGAGGAAAGTCCTACATCAACTGGGCTTTCTTCCAGAGAAGTTGTAGAGCGAGAACAGTAGCTTACACTAAACTGCACTGTATAACTTATAAAATATTTTTTATAGTTCTCAAGAATATTTTTGCATTTGTCAGTGTAGATATTATTATGATGGTTTCCATTTCACAATGTGGGGACTAAGACTCAAAGAGTTAAAGTGAGTTGTGGAGGCATACATAAAGAGTGATGGCAGAATGAAGACTCTAGGGCTGGTTTTCTGACTCTAGGACCTGTGCTTTCTTGAGGATAGCATATTGCTGATGAAGGTAGAGGGGAGCTTGCCACAGCAGGCAGAAGAACCTGCACCTTTGGCTTCTCGATCTTTAGTTTCTTCATCCACCTACACCCCTACTTCTCTCCTTCCCTCCCCACCCTGATACTTCCTTATCTTGGCTGCATTGATTATCTCCTCAAATTCCTGAATTGAATAGATCTTCATTTTATTGATCTACGTGTTGTCAAAAAAAATGGAGCTTTGTAAAGAAAATGACTTCTAGCAAGGACCTCAGGCAGGTTTCCTATGAGTGAAGCAAAGGTACTGTGTACTGTTACCACCTAGAAACCCAATCTGTTGGGTTTTGACCTGGAAGTAGGCCCTGGCTGCCGTGCCTTCTACATGTCCATGGGGATGTGGATGGGGCAGATGGCCAGCCACAGAGGGGAGCCTGTGGTCTGATGCTGTGTTAGCAAATCTGGACTTGGCTTTGCATTTCTCAGAGCAACAAAGGGGCCACTCTGGGTTCGAGCTGGCATTGTATTGTGTCTTTCTTTGGTTTCTCTGTGTAATTGAAAGAGTTTGCCATTGTTGCTCATTCCTTCATTTCTTTTTTGGCTGAAATGATTTAAAAAGAAAAACATGTGCTATTTCAATGCAGTGAGCTATTGTTTTATGACTGAATTCATTGAGAATCCTATCACACTTGTGGCATATAGTCTCTATGAAGTTTATTCTAACAGTGAAACAGAGAGGGAGGGAAACAGAAAAGCAGATGATAGAAAAGGAAGGGATAGAAGTGGAGACCAGTTTGTCTGTACTTCTCAGAATTAAAGAGCAACCAGGGCACCTGCCCAACCAGACCAGTGCTGCTGGGTCTGTGACCCCAGCTACTGTGGTAAGCCAGTATGTGCTTCTGCGGGGAGACCAGTTCTAGTGAGTCACTTCCCTTAAATGTCCCAAACCCTCTAAGTGCTGATTCTTCCTTATTTCTCAATAAACAAGAGCTTAAAGAAGAAGTTGTAAACACATCTCAAATTATTTCAAATTTCTTTCATCCCTGCTGAAGCCTCTCCAAGTCCATTTGAAGATCTCGTCTCATTCCTGAGTTTCCTGGTGGTAGCTGCTCAGATGGTCCAAATAGAACAATTTTCAAGGATTAAAAGATGATGCAATTCTCTTTTGTTTTCACTCATACAGATGTCATTTGATGAATAACTTTGTGCTAGGGGTGGGGAATGTGAAAATGAAGAAGGCATGATACTACTAGAACGAGTCATAGTCCCCTGGAGAAAATAGACACTAATGCAATTAATATTCCATGATAAAAATATAAAATATAGCATAAAATGTGGAGTCCAATTTTCTGGGGCTGTGAAGAGACCTGACAAAAGAGGTGCTAAGGGTTGGAAGTTTTTGTTTGTCTGTCTACCCTTTACCCCCTACGAAGAGTGTCTTTTACAGGGAGAAATGTTTTGCAGAGGGAAGCAACATACTTCTCAATCTTTGTTTTGGGGTGTTGAGGATGAGATATAATTTCTTGAGTGGGAATTGCAACTATTTGCCAGCTATGATTGAATGTTCTTGTAAGACAAATAAAATTAATTTGACCTGTTTTCAGAGTTCTTCCTTCAGGGTGGCAATTTGTTCCTGAATTAGAGAAATGACTTGCACAAAATGACTCTATCTCTGTCTCCTTAAACAAATGGACTTCTCTGCTTGTTCCAAGGATTCTGAGCGATGTGGGAAGCTCTTCTTTGTCCACGTAGTGTCTGAGCTCTCTTTGCACCTAAGCAGGAGCCCAGAACATCAGGTCTAGCTTAGGATTGGGAAGTCCCAGTTTAGTTTGATAGTGAAATGAGACTTCTGTGTACTAAACATAGAGGGATACTATTAGAGAATTTTTTTAAAAGTCAGTGGGAGTAATTGTAAACCAAGTAGATCATATAGCAGCATATCTAATCCACAAAGGTGGAACATAGAGGCTCAAGGCACCAAACTGGGGTGGGTGGAGGCTGAGAAGAACAAAAGCATTAAAGCAGAGGAACAGGGGATGTTCTGAGCAGAGTGGGCTTCAGCAGCAACATTTCCTGAGACCCTGGATTCAGACATGGTCTAGGAGTGGCATCCAATACCTGACCCCAGTCGGAGTCTAGTTTCTTTAAAAGGCTTCTTTGTTCACCCCAACACATTCTGCAATGTAGCATGGTAGTCTCTAACCAGTGTATTTTGCTCCTTTTTATATTTGTCACATAATCAATGCCTATCTTGAATTTCTGTTATGAGTTTTGTTTTATCTACAGCCCCCAGAGAGAGAAATTATGATGTGGACATCTCAAGTGGAAACCTGAGATATGGACACTGATTGTATAGCTGAGATAAGGCGACTCACACATCACTGAATGACTGTGAACAGAAGTTTTCAAAGGAGTATCCATAGCAGACACCTTTTCTGTGTATTTCTTCCTCTCCTTGGCACTCTGCTGATTTGATCTAAATCAAATTCATTGAAACAAATGAATAACCAGTGAGAATTAATGTCTTAGTCCCTTGATTTGCAATATCTTTTCCAAGAATATTGACTTTACCTTCCCAAAAATTATCATTCAAAGCTAAGAAAATAGAATTATTTTTGTGTTAAGGAAAAAAGAGCAATAATGCCTTTTAATTGAAATAATAATATCGTGAGAAATAATCTATTATTTATAATTCCTTTATTTTATATTTCATTGTTGAAAAATATAATTTTCATGCTTGTTTTGATAATATTCTACAAGACAACATCAATAAACCAACGTTCATTGTCCAGCTGAATGCCTTTTTAAAAAATGCTTATATTAAATAGTAAACAATTAGAAAATAATATTAATAAAAATATGTAAAGTATCAAGAACTCTGATACATCTGGCTGGTGTGACTCGGTGGTTGAGCATTGACCCGTGCACCAAGAGGTGGCTGGTCTCATTCCCAGACAAGGAACATGCCCTGGTTGTGGGCCAAATCCCCACTGGGGGACAGGCAGGAGGTGGCCAATCAATGTTCTCTCTCATCACTATATCTATCTCTCTTTCCCTTCCTCTCTCTCTAAAAATCAATTAAAAATAATAAATGAACTACGATACAACAAACACCTTGGTCCCACCACCTTCTTTGAGGAAGAGCAGAGTGTAGATGCCTTGGATGTTCCCGTGGCCCCGTCCTGACGGCACATCTTCCCTGTCTCCAGAAGGCGGCGCTCTCCTGAATTTGGTTCACTATTCTCATCTTTGTCTTTTTATCTCTCATACGTTTGTGTCCTTACACACCCTAATGCAAGTTTTTTAACTTTATATTCATTTAATTCCATTGAAATTTGCTTTTTTAACTTAAACACTACTTTTTTTATATTTATGTCATTGTATATATTTGTAATTCATTCATTATAACCACAGTGTAGCATCCCATCGGGTAAAGAGATAAACATTTATTTCCTGCTGCTGTTTTTATTCATGAATAAATACAAATTTTCATTATTTAAAAAAGCCACAAGATATTGTTGGGCTCTTCATACCTATTGTCATGCACAGACATGGCACCAGGGTATCATCACCGGCTTTCCCTCAAGACTTCCTGCTACTGGAGAAAAGGGAAAAGGGAAAAATTTACTTAGTTTGGATTTGCCCATAACAGACACTGAGACACGGGTTTGTGTCTCAGAAATTTATTAGGAAGAAGATCCTGGGACGCAGGAAAGGAGAGCAGGAGAGTTAGACAGGAAAGGACAGCCATTAGCAAGTGTCAGTGAGTAGTTCCCCACTGTGGAGAACTGGGGCTCCACTGTGCCTGAGGGCCTCTGAAACACGGTGGATGCACCTCCAGGTTGCTCCCCTGGGCTGCAAAGGAAGCTGGGGTATATTTATACCAACTCCTGTCCCATGTTGTTTGGTGGACGTTCTTGGGAGCATTCATCACCAAGCACTTCTGACCTGCTCCATGTATGTAGACTGACAATTTTTCTAGACCAGAGACTACTACCAGAAAGAGGACATGGGGAGCCTTGAGGACATAATGACACTCTTAAGATGACCTCTGGAGTGGGCTGAGGGTATCTGGACAGAGGTCCTAGGATGTGTCATGGTCATAATTTACATCTTAGACTAGTACCCTTACAAAATGCAAATCATATAATAGGACTCTGCTTCTTTAGAAGATTCAATAATTGTTTGTTGCTTATAGATTAAATTAAAATAAATTAAAATAACTTAGTAGCGCCCTGGCCAGTTTGGCTCAGCGGTTAGAGTGTCGGCCTGCGGTCCAGAAAGACCTGGATTCGGTTCCCACTAAGGGCCCATACCTCAGTTGCAGTTTGTCCCCAGACCTGATTGGTCGTCCGGGTGGCAGCCACTCGATGTGTCCCACACATATCTATCGCACACACACTCTACTATGTAGCTAAAGTGTCCTGAGCACTCCCTAAAGCTACCTCTTCGCATTTCATTCATTCACTGTCTTGTTCCTTAATAAATACACACTCATTGAGTAATTACTATGTTAAGTACTGGATTAACAAATATCTGTAAGTCATATTCTTAAGAAACGTATAGCTAAGCATGTAAGGCAGATATAAACCTGATTAAATAAAATACAAAAATATTTAATAGAAATATAGAAAATAGACAAGTAAAATTAAACCGGAAAGAATTAATCCCATACAGAAGTTTAAGAGCTTTCAAAAAAAGTTTAAAATATATTTATTCACAATGCTGTGCCTTTGTAAATTTTATTCTCTCTTCTTGAGATGCAGATATTATTTCC